GCGTTTCCTACAGACTCACGCATAACTGTAACTCCACTACCTGATTTCGACCACTCGGTAGTTTAGGAGCCCATCGAAAGCAAAATGGCTTATCTATCTTTGCAATCAGCTATACAGCATAGAGCTCAGTGTTTGTTTCAATAAAGAAAATCATGAAACAATCATCAACAATTCACGATGGATGATAAGGTGCCTGTGAACTATGCGAACGCCTTCCCACGCGTGCCCGGTAATAATCAGGTGCCGGCTGCTTTGCAGTTCACGTGAGGGCTTCAAATGACTCCACACGATCCTTTTTTCCCCGCGTGTGTTTCCCGCCTTCATATATAGGAAGCCGAAGCTCAAGTTTACAGAGCGACGACAACGCCGCGCTTGACCCTGCCGGGGACCCCAGGAACTCTTGAGGAGAGACGCGGGAGAGGTCGCAGGCGAGTCGGTGTGTTTCGCCGAAACGGGAGCGCGCGTGACACGCGCGCAACGCGTTCTGCAGTCAGTGCGGGAACTTGGGCGCCGTGCCGTCTGCTCGGCGCGCTGAAATGAGACGCTCGCTGTGTGAAGTTGCCTTTCCGCGATGGAAGGAGCGGCCCCTCGGAAGCGTCGGCGAAGTCCGAAGTATTGTTGTGTGGTGGGCTGCCACTCTTCTCCTAATTCCTCAATGTCCTTTTTAGCCGATGGCATCGCTATTTTGGCCGCTACAGCGTTTATTGTGCAGTAGTCTACTCGCGTAGCGCCAGCCAGCGGCGTCGACGAGAGGAGGCGGAGCGCGCTCGACGGCCTGAAGCTCCGTGGCCTGAAGAGAGCGTTCACCCGGGCTGCAGTGAACTAGAATACTTTGTAGTGGCAAAAGCGCCCCCCTGCTCGTGAGTCTCAGGAAGCTGCCGGCCGCGGGCGGCGCTGGCATAGTAATCGCGAGGTGCTGCTGCGGAGATTTGGGCATCTTTCGAACAGCTGCGCAAGCTTCTTCCCTTTCTTTCTCCGTTGCATCGCACTTTAAAAAAATGGGCAGCTACAATCGACTAACCTGGCGAACGGTTTTGCGTGCTGAGATTATGTACTGAACGCTTTGCGAGCTTGTGCTTCACTGTGAAGAGCAGCATCATGTGCAGCTCCCGTCGACTTCGCAGCGTAGCGTCGGACGGGCCTTTTTTTTTGTAATAAGCTTCGTGTTTTTTCAGAGCACCTCAGCTTCAAATCACGGATATCTGATATGAATTCTTTGTCATTAACGTGCCACGAGCCACGACTGGGGACGCCCTTGACCAGAGTAGTAATTTAGCGGCTTGAACCACAATGTTTGTTTCGATTATCGGCCTTCTGGTGTATTATGGACTGCATTCCATTTCGAATGTGTGCCGTAAGCGGTACTCGTTTTTCAGTAGAGCAGGACTTCTTGCTGTTGGTTCACATGCGGACAACTTTTGCACGACTATACTAGTTTGTAGACCAAACAGATAGCCCTGTCAGCACCGCTTTCAGCACTTGGAGTCCCACAGTATTTTAGCCAGGAGAATAGTTATTATAAAGAAGATGATTGATTTGTGGGGTTTAACGTCCCAAAACCATCATATGATTATGAGAGACGCCGTAGTGGAGGGCTCCGGAAATTTCGATCACCTGGGGTTCTTTAACGTGCGCCCAAATCTGAGCACAATTATAAAGAAGAGGCTGTGTTACAAAATGGCAAATGAAAGAAATATTTTGGCAACACTTGATACAACATTTATTTAGGTTGTAACTACATGCCAAATGAACTAATCAAGTGAGATGTCAAACAAAAATAACCAGCTAGAAAGCAAAAACTGATCACAAGCACAGTACAATGCAAGACACAGGCAGTCTACTTTTCACACAATAAAAAAAGACAGGAATATACACATATACTTAAAATATTTCAAAGGAAATCTCAAAGACAATGGTGCGGCTATGAACAAATCAGGTGCAAAATTAAAACGGCTTGCCAGGTTGCACTAATTGCCATTACGACTGCAATAAATGAAACGGGCAGTCTACTTTTCACTTATCACAGTACAGTAAACATACTAGGAACGTTTTAACAATTACGGGGGTGCATATAGAACTTTCCAAAAATGTGACGGTGAAAGTTTAGTTGAAAGTTCTGTTAATGTGTTCTTGAACTTTCTGTTGAACTTTGCGAAAGTTCCCATCACCACTTGAATAGCACAATAGACAGCATCCTCTAAAGCTTGTTATCCTGGCTCACCAACACCAGAAGCCTCCTGTTCACACCCGTGAAAACCTTCAGCTCTAAAGGCAGCTCATATTGCACATGGCAGCGACCTCCCCCCTTGCACTGCTATTTAACTTTCTAGCCCTCCTCCAACCCTTCTGCTGCAGTGCTGCCTTCCCGGCTAGCACTCCAATGTTCTGTACAATTTTGTGGACCTTACAATGATGTTGAGTACCTCATGTATTCCATGAAACAGAGATCTAAGGCTTTCACATTAAAAACATTTTAACATAAAGCTATACATTAAAAATTTATACATTGACAAACAACGATGTGACTGAAAAAATAAAATGTCGAACAGAAATAGCTCACTAGATAACAAAAAAACAATTGTCAGAAGTTCAATACATCAAACAAGCACTCTACCTTACACGTAGTGAAGTAAAAATACCAGAAATACATTAAGAGGGTCTTGATGACAAATAAAACTGTTAAATTGCAAAGAACTAGGCGTTTGTAACAGACAGACTCCAAATGAATTCTGCAAAAGCACAGAACTATTGCACAGTAAGTTATGACAACAGTACGCATAAAATTACAAGAATGGCACAGAGAAAATGGATAAACAAACACGGTTCACCTGCAGACATATGAATGCTGAAATGGGGGCAAGAGCAGTCTATGTACAGCGGCTAAGTTTCAGGTATTTTGCCGTTTCCCGCTTCTGCATCCTGGCTCGGTTGAGTGATTTTACGAAAAAGTGCAGCCGAGTGGTAATGAAAAATGCCACCATCTTAGCAGTAAGCATTTCAGCGTGGTCAGTACATCCAACACGGTGCTGTGGTCGGGATTTGATTAGCCAAATTACATCCATGATGCTTTCGTGATGAAGCTCTTTGCACTGAAGCAACCCGTGAAAAGGTTCTCCAGGTTTTTTAGGAACCTAAATAGGAAGCCCGACGGGTACAGCAGGCCGCCATTATCCTTGAGCTGTGTTAGCTGAGCAGCTTGAAGGTTTTTGATGTCGTTTTTGTCTGCAAGCAGAACGTTTTTACAAGCATCACAGCTGGTTTTGGCCAAGAACTTCCGTGCTACATATCCAGCAACGTAAAAAATTAGGCGCTCATCACTTTTGGCAGACACACAAGCAACATGATCTGGTGCAGCTTTCTCAATGCTGTTCAATGCCAGTTCAGCACTGCAAAGATCCCCATCAGCAATCAGCTGGTCCAGCAGAAACTGTTTGGTACGGTGATCCCCACCGGCAGCATCAGCCCCAAGCAGTGCAGTCAAAATGCCTGGCTCTGTATTCCCGTGTGACACAGATTTGGCAAGGCTGTAAAAACTCAAGCAAGGAACTGTAATCAAAAACAACTGGGGTGTGAGTGAGTATTACAGCCTGACGACTGCCGTGCAATGCCAAAAAAGTTCTCAGCTGGGTCCTGGCTCAGCCTTGATGTCATGATGAACTTGTACGCGAGTTGTTGGCTCAGGTAGTCCAGCAGCGACAGGACACTTGCAATGGTGACCCTCAATCCAACTGCGGTAGACTCGGACAAAAAGCGGCCCCGCTTTTCGGCTCAGCCTTCGTTTTAGGGGCGAAGCTCCTTAGGGCGTGCGTGGGCTGTGCGTCCCCTGTAGCCTGTATGTGGCCACCTCTAGTTTAGTTCTTGCAGTGTTCACTAGATGGCGGTACCGTCCCCTGTATGTAGCCACCTCTAGTTTAGTTCTTGCAGTGTTCACTAGATGGCGGTACCGTCTCCTGTATGTAGCCACCTCTCGTTTAGTTCTTGTAGTGTTTACTAGATGGTGGTACTTGTAGCTGATGATGAAAAGATGCAAGATGTTATAGACTAGAAAGCGGTACTTGTAGTTGATGAAAGACGCGAGATCTTATAAAATAGGAATGATGTCACACATGGCGCATGTCATTGGTTGAAGCCAATCGTTCGATTTAGTGCGGCGACGTACGCTAGGGGGAGCGATGCAATGAAATCGAGTGGGCAAAATGTACAGAGGATTCATGGTTTACCAGGTTTACCTCCGGAGCTTCGCCTACTCATCATCATTCACTTCGTGGATATGGCGGAATTTTTTCGCTTGACGCAAGTTTTCTGCTACATAAACCTCCCATTCAACAAGGTAGGCTGAAATGACAGCAGCTTATCCACGGCAGCTGAGTCCGGACGAAGAGCCTTGGCGGGGAATCGAGATGACATTATCTCGATAAGGTCTCTCATCATGCTGAAATGCATAGAACACACAATAAGATTTTAAAACAGTTAGCCAAGAGGTTGGAAGGTTCATTTACAGCGAAAGGTAAATAAAAACAAAAAATGAAATATAAGTATGCTCCTAACAGCTTGTATACATGTGAAGCAGTACTTGAGGCAATAAACTTACCCGAAAAAGGTCAAGACAGGCTGGATGCTCCCGCATTTGGCCTCAACATCATTTTTGTAGAGACGAAGACCATTTAGAACCGTGTCACTGAAGAGTTGGAAGGCGTAGGTAGCCCTCATTTTCTCAAAGTTGTTGGGCTGAGTGTGGCGGGTTGTGATACCGGGCATAGCTTGAAGAGTCACGTTCGAGCCATCAAGTGTCAAAGCCTCTTTTACAGGACGAAGCGATACCTCCATGGAAAAACAAAATGATTCATAAGACACTGCAGTGCTAGGTTTTTATGTTTCCTGGGGATAAAAACATTCTCATATTGATAAAGGCATAAATTTTTGTACTTACTGGTCCTGTTGGAGTGGTGAAGTCTGCTTGGAGTAGCCCATTCCTGATGCATTTGACAAGATGTGGGAAGTCAGAAATGAAATGAAGTGACCGCATTGTCCAGTGGATGTTGCACTTTGCATTTTGTGCTAGATGCAGTCGCGTAAATGCCCATCGTGGACCACATGTTTCGATTCCAGGTCTCACCGTCGGATGTTATGAAATCAACAAATAGCCCAGCCTTTTCCGCTAGAATCACTGCCTCCAGCATCACTTTCGAGAGCCAATTTCCTTTCATGTTGCCCTGCGTGGCAAAAGAAGCAAGTATTTGGGTCCACTCGCCAGTGAACGGCACAAACATTATGACCATCCCATCGTCAGCCACTTTATGCTTGTCACTGCTGGGGGTGAACTGGCCCATGTCCACGAAGCCTTGTATGTGCCCTGACGATGAGACTGACAGATTCTCGGACAGTTTCATTTCGTCAACGATGAGCCCTCCGTGCCTTTTGAAGGCATCCATGGAAGACGCTTTCTGCTTGAGCATGCTCATCACTTTGGCATTAAAGCCAAATCCCGTCCTGTACGACATGAGATACTTCTGAAGAGTAACCTTGCTCGGCAAAACAAGAACTTTCTGCCTCCGCATATCCTCGTAAAGCTTTGGCCCTTTCATGCGCATGATGAGGCATTCCAAAATCCACTCCTTCGAGTACCTCATCCCTCTAACACTCTTCTTGTTCGCAGCCTTGAACATGTGTAGAGCTGCCTCTTGCTGCTTTGGGGGGAGTTCTTTAATTCGGCCAAGGAAAGTCTCATCACTTAGCCTGGAGTTTTCTTCTTTCATGGCTCGTACTTGGCCTGCCAGGGTACACAAGCGTGAAGCAATTCGCTTTGTCTTCTGATTGGCCATTTGCAGCTTGTGAGACAAGTTATGCGTGACACGTTTTTTCTTCAACTTGGACTTCCGTGCCAGCAGCTACTTTCGCAAATAGCGACAATGAACACAGATGGTTCCTGAAAAACGTAAAACATAAAATAAGCCACTTCCTTACTTCGAACTATTTGCAAGACATGGAAACAAGGGCTAACAGATAATTGGAGGAAAAATAAACTCCAGAGCTATTACAAAGTGGGTAATAGCTAACAGGTCCTGGCTAGTGTTATTTCCCTTTAATGCAGGTTGCTTTAGATACAAAGGATATGCTTAGGTTATGAAAAAAAAGTAGCAGGCTATGTTAGCTAGAACAGAAAGTACATTGTTTCTTATTAAAAATATTGACACACACCTTTGACTGTCACCATTCCAAGACAGTTCTTGCTGAACACGCCGTCACTCGCGGGGGGGAGGGTGCGCTTCATCTTCTCGGTCAGGTTCTGAGCAAGGCCGTCATAAGCGTCTTTGCTCATAGCGCTTGAACAAAGCAATGCAGTGTCAACTTCTTGAAATATGTTCGTTGCTTCAAGAAGGGAGGTGATTTTGCCGTACTTCTTTTCTCTCGCACCGAGATAACAGCTTGCCACAACATCACTGTTGCTATCTAAGCTGAAACAGATCACTTTCTCGTGGGAGACACTGAAAGGCTGTTTTGTTGTGCGTGTAGTGGCATACACAAGGAGATCAAGGTCTGGAGTGGTCAGTTTCGTCCACAGCCTTGGAACACTTAAGCAGGTGGCAAGGTCCCTTAAGTCACCTGATTTGAGCGGGTTCGCTTGCATGTTTTCGGCAGGGCTCGTGTTCGGGTCGGAATTCTCTTCGCCGAGCAAGCTCGCTTCGTGCTCATCGCGACGAGGGAGACGAACTTTCTTCGCCGATCCAGACGTAGAAACTAAGCAGCGCTTTCGCTCGGGCCTTGGTTTTTTCACAGATGTGGAAAGGTATGCGGGCAGGTCAGGTAAAAACGTTGGCACTGCATTTGCAGTAAGACCAGGCTTCCCTCGAGCGATTCGTACCTCCTTGCCGCCGATGATGTGGACATAATCACGAACGACAAAATGGTCTGCAAAGTGTTTTTCACAAACCGCGGATGTGTCCGTTAGAGGTTTGTCTTTCCTCTTGAGGTTCCGCTCCCAAATCTTTCGTCGGTCTTCGTCCTTTGGTGCCGAAAAGAGCGAAATCTTCCGCCCGTTTTCAACGCGATGACCGGGGTAGCCTGACCGGCAACCCGGGGCGAAACAGTGCGTATCCGTCTTCTTTTTCTTGTTCATGGTGGTACCGAGAACGTTTTCTTCCAGCACAGAAAAAAGATACAAGAAGAATCGAAAGCCACAGCAGCAAAGCGCCCTGACAGCAGTCAACTCGCCGGTCGAGCCTGCCTGGCTGGCCTCGCGAATCTGACTGCAGCGCTACGCGCGGCGGACAGCTTTTTTCGTCACAGCGCCTCCTATAGACGCCCGCTTCGCTCTTGCCACTACAAAACCTTCTAGTTCACTGTACCCGGGCACTGAAAAAATAAAGGAGGCGCTGGATTCGCATGTTAACGGAAGGGACGCAGCTGATGGCATCGCCATTTTGGCCACTACAGCGTTTACTGTGCCAGCCACAAAGCGATGGCGGCGATGTTTGGCACGGATATCAAACGGAAAAGCTTCATTCTTTCCTCATCGTGTTTCGCCAGCGCTTCCCTGGTCTGGCTTTCACAGTTTTCATACTTCGCGCTGGCGGGACCAGTATACGGCTTCCAGTTCTTACCAAATAGTACGTCATACGCAGACAGGGCGCCCGGTCGGGTGTCGGTTTCGGTTTTGCACCATATTGCTTATTAAAAATATTTTCGATTTCCCTGAGAATTTCAGCTATTGGGCTTGTGTCAAGAGTGTCACACGAACATAGGAACACTATTAATTAGTAGAAGAGGAATTAGGCTCCAGAAGTCTGGGTAGTGATCACAAACGTATAAAGCTAAGTTTTGGAAGAGCAGTGAAAGTGAAAGGAGACAAGATGAGCAACTACAGGAAAATTTTTATTCAGAAAGGCAAATAGAAACCGGTACTAAACTAATTGAAAAAGTAATCACTGAGGATAATAAAACAGTGTGGACATACACGAATCTAATTAGACTGTTTGAGCGAGAGCTTCCGGGGTGACAAGTCACCCGGAAAAGAAGACGCAAACCCAAGAGTTAGTGGGATGAGGAAGTTAAGAGAGCCATATCAAAATGCCAGAAAGACTGTAGGGAACACAGACATGCTAAGCAGCGGGGTGAATCGACAGATGATGTTGAAAGAAAATGGGAAATCTTTGTAAGCTGCAGAAGGGAAGCATCCCTTCTGATCAATGAAAATATTAGAATAAAGGGGGCTCAGTGGCTGGCAGAAGTACATAAAAAGGATAAAAGGCAGCTGCAAAATTTTGGAACCATCTAAACTCCCTAAGAAATGAGACAAGCCTAGCACAGAGGTTTATAACTACAGCTCAAGGTGCTAAGCTAGAAGGGGTTGAAGCTATTGAATATATAAGAACAAGGGTGATAGAAAAATTTCAACAAAGCAGTGCCTTATGCACCACAATAGACAAGGATGGATCAAGTGGCACAGTGGCTCCATTTTCACAACGAGAGTGGGAAAGGGCTGAGAAGAGGGTTCCTAGTGGTACATCAACAGGCCCAGATGGCATTCCAACTATGCTGATAAAGACATTGGGTCCGAAGTAGAAACAGACTTTGAGAGAGGCAGTGAGCAGAACTATAATCGATGGCAAAGTCCCTGATGGATGGAAACTTAACAGGATGAGCATTATCTATAACGGAAAGGGGGACAAAGCTGACATAAACAACTACCATCCAATAACAGTGATATCAGTGGTCTACAGGCTGGTGATGCAGGTTATAAAGGAACTGCTGGCATGGATAGAGGATGAGGGGGTGCTGGGTAAACTACAGAATGGGTTTTGGAAACACAGGAGGTTGGAAGACAATCTGTTCTCACGTACGCAGTGCATCGAAATAGCAGAAAAGGAACACAGGCCCCTGTGGCCAGCATTTTTGAATATCAAGGGAGCGTACGATAGCGTGGTTCAATAGGACTTGTAGGGAATACTGGACACACTAGGTGTTGAAGATGGAGTCACTAATCTTTTAAAGGATATCTCTAAAGGTAACAAGGTAGTTATAAAGTGGGAAAAATAGGTATCCAAGCCCGCAAAAGTAAAACGGGGGCTTAGGCAGGGGTGCCCTCTGTCACCCTTGTTATTCATGATGTACCTACAACGATTAGAGGCTAAATTAGAAGGAAGTGGACTTGGCTTCAACCTCTCTTTCGTCAAACAAGGAAAACTCATTGAACAGGCACTACCAGCATTGATGTACGCAGATGATATAGTGCTATTAGCTGACAACAAGAAAAATTTACAGAGATAGATGGACATCTGCTGTAATGAGGGAGATAGGTCAGATTTCAGATTCAGTAAAAAAAATCAGCAGTCATGGTTTTGATGATAACGAAGGTAGAGAGCTTAGAATACAGGAGGTCACGCTAGAGATAACAGATAAATACAAATATTTGGGCGTATGGATAAGCAATGGGACCGGGTACCTAAGGGAACACGAAATATACGTGACGACTAAAGGTAACAGGAATGCAGCAGTGATGAAAAACAGGGCACTATGAAATCTCAATAGGTATGATGTTGTGAGAGTAACATGGAAAGGGGTGATGGTTCCTGGTCTGACGTTCAGCAATGTTGTCTTGGGCATGACATCAGAAGTTCAAGCAAGATTAGAAATTAAGCAACGTGGAATAGGTAGGCTTGCCTTAGGAGCTCACGGGAATACACCAAACCAAGGCGTACAAGGTGATATGGGATGGGCATCAATTGAGGACAGAGAAGCTAGCAGCAAGATAAAATTTGAGAAGCGATTGAGAGAAATGGAGGAGGAGCGTTGGGCTAGGAAGGTATTCAGCTACTTGTACATGAAAGATGTCGATACAAAATGGAGGAAACAAACCAGAAAATAGACTGGTAAATACGTAGAAAACAGCAGGGGGCCAAACCAAAAAGAATTATTGGTTAAGAAGAAGGGGAAGGATGCTGAGACGAATATGTGGAGAATCGGCATGATTAAGAAGTCTGCACTAGAGATCTATCAAATGTTTAAGCAGGAAATTGCCAAGGAAAGGTTCTATGATAATAATCGGGGTAGTTCTCAACTGTTTGAGGCCATGACGGGAGCATTGCAAACCAAGACGTATCGGGCAATATACGAAAGGGTAAACACGGTATGCAGTGCGTGTGGAGAGGAGGAAGAAAGTGCTGAACACTTAATAGTGTTCTGTGAAGGGCTTCACCCTATAGTTCAGGATGATGGCGCAGAGTTTCTCAAAGCACTAGGGTTTAGCGACAGAGAGGGCAAAATAGACTTTGAGCGGGTAGAATTAACTAGCAGGAGATTATCTGATTGGTGGCTAAAGTCAAGGCACGAGTGAAGATTAAACCCTTCACAACAAAGCACGAGTCCTCTACTTCACTATTTAAAGGAAAACAAATAATTCTAGTTTTTTGTTCACTAACTATTACGGATTGGTGGCGTTAGCCACCACCCGAACTAAAGGGTACAGCCACATCCATAAGTCTATCCATCCATCCATCCGTCCATCCATCCATCCATCCATCCATCCATCCATCCATCCATCCATCCATCCATCCATCCATCCATCCATCCATCCATCCATCCATCCATCCATCCATCCATCCGTCCGTCCGTCCGTCTGTCCGTCCGTCCGTCCATCCATTCATCCATCCATCCACTCAATCCATTCATTCATTCATTCATTCATTCATTCATTCATTCATTCACGGGATGCTGGCGCTGAACGGCCGCACGTATCATGAAGCTCGCAAATTTGTGT